TTCATGCCTGAGAAGGTGTCCTACCAACCTATCTCGCCTATTTTTTATTGACTTCCATAGAGTCCTCTGTTCTCCTATTCTTTCCAATACCTCTTCATTTCTAACCTTTTCTACCCACGTTATCCTCATTATCCGCCTATAACACCACATTTCGAGTTGAGAAATACTTTATGGAAAGCCCGAAAAGGTGGCAACCCTAGTCCTAACACAGGTTGGACACGCACCTCCACTCTTTCCTATCCTCAGATAATCTTCGTATTTTCCTAAAACTATAGAATAACCCATATCCTTAACTATTAGCGCACAGTAATCTTCGTTTTATTGACTTTCTCAAGTATCTTTCCAACACCCCCTTCGTCTCTTTTACCTCCCCTACCTTTCTTATACCCAATACATATTTAAACAGCTGTGTACTTAATTTACGTCCTTCTCTTATGCCTCTTTCTATTCCAGAATTCTTTGCCTACCCTTATAACCTTGCCGTTCCTTAATATATCTCCATAATTATACCCATCAACCCCTCTTTTTAATCTTAACAATTTTATTGTGTCAAGTGAATCAAAAGTCATTTTTAAAATGGTTCTATTAAAAAATACAAAACGCCAAACAATGAAGTTGTAGATATATTTTTTTGTATATTTTCTGGTATTTTCTATTACTATACTTACCTATTTCCTGTTTTGGAAATTCCACCACGATTTCTGTATCCGCCATCTTAATCAAGTTGGTTTATCCCTTCCAGCACAATATCCTTAAAAATTAATGCCTAAAAAATTCTTATTTTATTTTCTATAATGATTTTACAGTTAGTATTTGAAATAGATTAAATCATTTAATATCTTCTATTTCAAGTGCACTGTAGCAATCATTTTTTTATATCTCTGATGAAAATTTAAACTGTATCAGATACTACGTAGTAATACCATGTCAGATTGAGACGACTACCAGGCTATAAAAATGTGTTCACCTTGAATTATGCACTTTGAGGGCCTGCAGTTTACATTTGTTACAGCAATTTATTCGGCAGTATTCCAGGAAGTAAGGGTTGCTTAATAACATAGGTATTAAACCTGTAAACTTACGTACTTACTTAAATGTTGTTGCATTTTGAATTTAATTTAGTCGATCTTAAGCAAGTTGTGTATTTGCGTCGTCTTTCGTTTAAATATAGGCAATTTATTACAACAAAAAAACGTAATAGAAGTTACTGCGGACTGGATCAACCACGTATTATATAAATAAAAACCTTTCGCTTACGATGTCCAACGTTGACCAATATGAATAAAAAGCTTTCTCCGAGTAAGGAAGAAACTTGCAGCTTCCTTCGGGTGCGTTTTCAGCTGGCGGACGCTTACTGATAACATTGGTAATTTAACGCTTTTTCGATAATGGGTTCTACATTTTCCAATAACGCTTAATTGTCTGATTTTATTTATTATCATGTGGGTTAATAACCATTTTGAATGTTATGTAAATATTGTAATAAAATTGAAAGTAAATGTTAATAAACATTAATTTAACGTGAGGGCGTACGACCGTCTATTTATTTGCACCACTGTCATTTAGAACATTAATAACTACAACAGTTTTGGTCGGTTGTTGAAACGAACTGCGATGTACGAATTACTGAGAATATTGTTTGTAATCGTCACCTTCTTCCTTACCGTTGAATGTAAAGGTAAATTTCTGAAATTGTCACTTATAAATATATTACTAAGAATAACGCAAATCGCTAATTTGTAATGTTTTACAACAAAGAACTTTCATGCAATCCTGCTGACGCTATTCCGAAGTATGTCGGTCGAGACATGACGTGTGACGATTGCAAGTGTAAGAAACATGGCAAAGTTCTCATTTGTCTGATAGGCAGCTGCATAAGACCCGACGGGTCACAAGTAGAAGATGAATGGGGTAATTTTCAATTTTAATAAATAAACACAGTTTCCTCTACAGTCTAGTCAGTATTACAGTATCCGTATTAATAAATGACAAAATTTATTTTACAACGACTTTGCAATAACGTTATAAAGACTCCAGAAAATCGCATCCCCGTCAGACTTATTGCTCAAATATCCCAACGTTTGGATTATTTTCACGTTTTATTTCTTTGACTGCATCGTCACTTTCATTCATGAAATATTGAGTAATAGATATCGTCCTGTATTAGGTGAGGCTAAGTTTCCGGTGGTAAAACGGTGCAATTTTGGTATGCACGTATTTGACAAGTGCAATATCTGCCTTTGCGACCAGAAACAGAAACCATCCTATTGTACTAAGATGGGTTGCACTAAAATTTCATTAAACGAACTGATGCAGAAGTATCCGAGTAAGTGAATGTTGTTTAATATCATAAACAATAAGTTAGGTCTACGAATTTAGATCCATAATTAAATGTTGTTACATGTTTCAGAGTATCCTCTAATAAAAAGAAGGTTGAAAGCTCTTCCACTGTAGAGCATAATGGAATAGACAATGTGTCTTTCGTTATAAATAAAGTCTTTAAAACAATTTCTTTTATTACTTAAAAGCGACGATCAATATCATCATCTAATAAATTTATTATGGACAACTTTGTGATTGACATTGCAAGTTTCTTGCAGATTCTTGAATTTTGAGTTTTTTTTTACATTGACAACAGCAACAATTTTTCCCTCATTAATTTGAGGTAGTTTGTAGTGGGTAAAATTTAAATCGAAAAAATGATTTCAAATTAATATTGTTTACAAAGGTTTTGAAAAGAAGTATCTATAAGCTGAAACAGGTAAACCAAAAAGCAGAAAAATTCAAATAAATGAACTAGAATTGTTTTCAGTAAATAAAAAAAAGCTAAAGTAAGTATTATTTCTCTAATTATTTATTTATTCATCTAATTGTAAGTTGCCCAAATGACGACTACAATATTTAAATAAGGGTTGAATACCGAGTAGTAGTTTTCGCCTTTTGTCGCAGCAATTGTCAAGTATTTTTTTGCGGCTTGTTATTTTTCAATCTTTAGGTTTACTTTATCCTGAAAGTATAGTTTTGGAAGTTAATATATCATATTGAGAACGTTACTGTTTCACCCCTGATTATTCAATAAATATTACCAATGGATTTGCATAGAAAGAGATGAAAAAACTGATGTCAAAATTGTTAAATCTATCTTCCCTTGGTCTGGTTTATTATTTTAACCGATTCCCATACTATAAGGAAGTGGGTTATAATTGAAATTTAATTAATTTATTTATTATATAGTACGGGTTCACACCCAATTACAAAAAGACTACAATAATTTCATAATGGTTTGATATATAAACTAGATAATTTCGAATATAACTAAAAATAGTTAAGCAGAGTTTTTAGTTATGATATAGTGCTAACATTTGCAAGGGTAGGAGCCGATGTGTTCCAAGTTCGACGAAGTCTTGCTATTGGATTAATATAGGCAAAATTTGAGTTGTATGTGGACTCTGCCAAGGGATTTGGGTTTCTGATGCTGTACTTAATTTCTCGGTTTGCAAAAAGTGGAGATAAAGGGGACAATTCCGTGAAGCATACTTTATTGCACGATGTTGAATATTCTCTAGAATTTTCTGAGACTGTTTTGTATAGGGAGACCAAATCAAAGAACCGTAGGTTAAAAGAGGCAAGTGGATAATAAAGAGTGGTCTTCGAAAATCACTCGATAATCTCGAAGCTTAATTTATCGTCAAATAAAATTTCCAGTTCCTTGATCTGACCAGAATGCTCAATTTGAACATCATTTAAGTGACAGACATGGGATAGCTTAACTGAAAATCTATAAAAAGATAGACTCTACATTTAGAAGTATTTAGATATATGTAGTTTATTTTCCAATGGCCAAAACATCACTAACAACAGCAAACAGAAGCCACTTTGCATGGAGTAGAGATGTTGGCAGGTCATTTATGAAAAGAATAAATAGAAGGGGACCCAAGTGTGAGCCTTGCGGCACACCCGAATTTACCGAAAATGGAGTTGACTTGGTGCCAACATATACGTACAATAACAAAGCGAAATGATAGATACGATTCAAGCGAACCCAGCATGGAGCCTTTCAAGACATAGATAACCCCTCAGCTTGGACATCAGAATGTTTATATCTACAGAATCGAATGCTTTCGAAAAGTCCAAATAAACCACATGGACTTGTTTTTTTTTAGTTTGAAAACTCCTTATATAAAAATATCAACATTAAACAAAGTGAGATGAGGTGATACATCTGAGTCCAAGTCTTGTAGGAAATTTGAAGATGCAGAGTGGGATGTTGCAGTAGGGCAAGTGGATTTAAAGAAAGCTGCAAAGGAGTTGGCTATGTCAGCTAGCTTATCACAACATATATTATTATAATACAGTTTATCACTAAGTCTGTGATCAACACTGTTTGCCTTGACATAGTTCCAAGAGTGTAATGGATTGGGTGACAGTCTATCTTCAACATCATCAACAAACTTCTTTCCTAAAAAGATTGACTCCCTATTGAACTGAGCTCTAAACTTTTAAAATTCAATATAAAAAAACGTAATAGAAGTTGCTGCGGACTGGATCAACCACGTATTATATAAATAAAAACCCTTCACTTACGACGTCCAACGTTGACCAATATGAATGAAGCCTTCTCCGAGTAAGGAGGCAACTTGTAGCTTCCTTCGGGTGCGTTTCCGGCTGGCGGACGCTTGGTGATAACATTGGTAATTTAACGCTTTTTCGATAATGGGTTCTAAATTTTCCAATAACGCTTAATTGACTGATATTCTTTATGATCATGTGGGCTAATAAGCTTTTTGACTGTTATGTACCTATTGTAATAAAATTAAAAGTAAATGTTAATAAACATTAATTTAACGTGAGGGCGTACGACCGTCTATTTATTTGCACCACTGTCATTTAGAACATTAATAACTACAACAGTTTTGGTCGGTTGTTGAAACGAACTGCGATGTACGAATTACTGAGAATATTGTTTGTAATCGTCACCTTCTTCCTTACCGTTGAATGTAAAGGTAAATTTCTGAAATTGTCACTTATAAATATATTACTAAGAATANAGCCTATTAAAATAAATAATTTTTAATTCTTAACGAAACAAAGCCACGGCTTGCGACCCCAAACGAAAAGATCCGACGTACAAGGATTCAAAGATGACGTGTGCCGAATGCAGTTGTGTTAAAAAACCTTCTTCCTTACCGTTGAATGTAAAGGTAAATTTCTGAAATTGTCACTTATAAATATATTACTAAGAATACCACAAATCGCTAATTTGTAATGTTTTACAACAAAGAGATTTCATGCATACCTTCTCAGCCTACGAAGTTAGAAACTGATGATTTGATATGTGAGGATTGTGTCTGTAACGATAATGGCGACGGTATGAGCTGTGTGGATAGCACCTGCATAACACCCATCGGAGCAACAAGTAGATTGGGTAATTCTTAACATTAATAAATAACACAAAATTATCACTTGTAAATATATTATTAATAATACCGCAAATCGCCAATTTTTAGTGTTTTTCAACAAAGGTCATTCATGCAATCCTGCTGACGCTATTCCGACCTATGTCGGTCGAGACATGACGTGTGATGATTGTAGCTGTGAAGACAATGGTAAAGCTCTGATTTGTGCGGAAGGCAGCTGCATTAGACCCGACGGGTCACAAGTAGAAAATGAATGGGGTAATTTTCAATTTTAATAAATAATCACAGTTTCCTCTACAGCCTGGTAAGTATCACAGTATCCGTATTAATCAATGGCAAAATTTATTTTACAACGACTTTGCAATAAAGTNAAAGTAAATGTTAATAAACATTAATTTAACGTGAGGGCGTACGACCGTCTATTTATTTGCACCACTGTCATTTAGAACATTAATAACTACAACAGTTTTGGTCGGTTGTTGAAACGAACTGCGATGTACGAATTACTGAGAATATTGTTTGTAATCGTCACCTTCTTCCTTACCGTTGAATGTAAAGGTAAATTTCTGAAATTGTCACTTATAAATATATTACTAAGAATACCACAAATCGCTAATTTGTAATGTTTTACAACAAAGAGATTTCATGCATACCTTCTCAGCCTACGAAGTTAGAAACTGATGATTTGATATGTGAGGATTGTGTCTGTAACGATAATGGCGACGGTATGAGCTGTGTGGATAGCACCTGCATAACACCCATCGGAGCAACAAGTAGATTGGGTAATTCTTAACATTAATAAATAACACAAAATTATCACTTGTAAATATATTATTAATAATACCGCAAATCGCCAATTTTTAGTGTTTTTCAACAAAGGTCATTCATGCAATTCTGCTGACGCTATTCCGACCTATGTCGGTCGAGACATGACGTGTGATGATTGTAGCTGTGAAGACAATGGTAAAGCTCTGATTTGTGCGGAAGGCAGCTGCATTAGACCCGACGGGTCACAAGTAGAAAATGAATGGGGTAATTTTCAATTTTAATAAATAATCACAGTTTCCTCTACAGCCTGGTAAGTATCACAGTATCCGTATTAATCAATGGCAAAATTTATTTTACAACGACTTTGCAATAAAGTTATAAAGGCTCCAGAAAACTGCATCCCCGTCACACTTATTGCTCAAATATCCCAACGTTTGTATTATTTTTACGTTTTATTTCTTTGACTGCATCGTCACTTTCATTCATGAAATATTGAGTAATAGATATCGTCCTGTATTAGGTGCGGTTGACCTTCCGGTGGTAAAACGGTGCAATTTTGGTATGTACGTCTTTGACAAGTGCAATTTGTGCATGTGCGACCGGAAACAGAAACCATCCCTTTGTACTATCATCGATTGCAGTAAAAATTTAATAAATAAGCTGATGCTGAATAATCCGAGTAAGTGAATGTTGTTCAAAATCATAAACAATAAGTTAGGCCTACAAATTTAGATACATAATTAAATGTTGTTACATTTTTCAGGGTATCCTCTGAAATAGAGTTTAACACCTACCCCACTGTAGAGATGTAATGGAAGAGAATATGCGTCTTTCGTTATAAATAATAAAATCTTTAAAACAATTTCTTTTATTATTTACTAGTGCCACTATTTATATCTAATACAATTACAATTTGTATCAAGAATACCTTATTCCATATTACGTAGCTACTTCGTGATCGAAATTGCAAATTTGTTGCGACCCATTGAATTTTGGGCTTTTTCCGATTTATTGTATAGTTTTCGAAAAGATAAATCTGTAAACTATTCCCCCAAATATTCCTGCTGAAACAGGTCCAGCCCAGTAAACCTAAAGAGGCAAAAAATTATAAACCATAAGCAATCGTCTACTTGTTAATCTACATGTCGAAGACGCGGATAAACACCACTAAAAACAGGACAACTTTTAGGATAGATAAACAGGGGCAAAAGATTAGTATGCTCGTTAGATTTGCAGACGATTTAGTATTTTTTGGAATTAAGAAAAGAGGAGTTAGTAATAGCATTAAATAAAATGGAATAATATGAAATATTATACTGAAAATTCAATTTCTGATTTTCTTTACCCACTACACGCTACCTCAAATTAATGAGGGAAAAATTGTTGCTAATGTCACACCCCCGCCGGGATTTGTTTATTGTTTTCCCTCATTAATTTTCATACTAAACATACATACAATTTAGACATCTTTTAGAAGTGAGTTAGTTTAATATGAAATATTATACTGAAAATTCAATTTCTGATTTTTTTTACCCACTACACGCTACCTCAAATTAATGAGGGAAAACATTAGTGCGTAAAGCCAAAGGTCACGGGTTCGATTCCCGGCGGGGGTGTGACAACAGCAACAATTTTTCCCTCGTTAATTTGAGGTAGCGTGTAGTGGGTAAAAAATTCAAAAATGAATTTTCAGAATAATATTTCATATTAAACTAACTCACTTCTAAAAGATATCTAAATTATATGTATGTTTAATCATAGTATATTCAGTATATAGTTACATTAGTTCGACGGATCGTTAACCTTGTAGGTCGGTTGGTCGTGGTTGTTGTTGTCACCTCTCGTAGTTTAGTGGTCAGAACATTGGTGCGTAAAGCCAAAGGTCCCGGGTTCGATTCCCGGCGGGGGTGTGACAACAGCAACAATTTTTCCCTCATTAATTTGAGGTAGCGTGTAGTGGGTAAAAAATTCAGAAATGAATTTTCAGTATAATATTTCATATTAAACTAACTCACTTCTAAAAGATGTCTAAATTGTATGTATGTTTAGTATGAAAATAAATAACAGTAAAACAAAAATACTGGTTTGCAATTGACGACCTTATGCTGATGAAAAAAATGGTCTAAAATATGACAATAATTTCTATATTTATTTATTTATTAATTTATGTCGGCCGAATGTCTGTTAACGATGATTTTATAAGAATACGTCAGAGACGATTGAGTACCCAGTGGTTTTCCCAGTTCCAATTCCACAGAGCGGGTGCAAAGCTCCTAGCTGGGTTCATGCTTGCTCCTGTATATCCCGCCTGCAAAAGAAAATGAAAAACGGCGTAAACATAAAACATCAGAACAATTTTTCTACGTACTCCTGCAAATGTCAAACCGGCTATTAAGAATCCAAATTTCAATGGCGCCGAATCCTTTTTGTTTTGATTCCTTTCGTCCCATGCGGCGCAATTCGCCCAGACCAGAACCAAACTTAGCAAAAGCTCTGTTAAATAAGCCTGCAAAATGTCAAATTTCTGTAGGTCATAAAATAGGACTATTACTATAACAATAATAATAATAATAAAAAAATCGGTTGTCTGTAAAGTCGGTTTACTGACGATAGTTGAACGTGACAACGTCATAAGAAAATACTGATGGAATGGTTTCATTTTTCAAAAGAAAATTTTAATTTTATTTGTTTGATAGATATTTTGTATGGATATAGAGAAGGAGGTAAATGGAAATGTATTATTGTATAGCAGCTGTCCACGTGGACGCATCGCTCACTCAA